GGACCATGTGGCGTTTCGGGGTCCCCGACACAGTAGAGACCCCCCCGTCTGCCAAAGCCCGCTGGAGGGCCCAGCTCCAGGGGGGCTCGCCCCCTCCAACGGCCACCCTGAGCCTGAACATAACCCCCTCCGCAGACTCCCCCGTAGGGGAGTACAGGCTGTCGGCCAGGCTCAGGGGGGAGGAGAAGGCCCTGGGGGGCCTGGTGCTGCTCTTCAACCCCTGGTGCCCCGGTGGGTTCTGATTACACTCTCTAAACCCTAACCTTAACCCTAACCCTAACCCTAACCCTAGCCCTCTCACTGGAGCAGGGGTCAGCTCTCAGAATCAGAATCAGAATAAGGTTTATTGCCAAGTAGGTTTTTAGACTTACAAGTAATTTGCCATGATGTTTGGTGCACAACACAACACTTCTATGAGAAGCAAGGAAGGAAATAAAATGTAGAAATAAAAATATAGAACAGAAATGATAAAACTGAAAAATACAATCTTTAACTCATTGGCTGCCAAAGACGTCTATAGATGTCTTTTATGTTTTTCAACGATAGTGGCTTGGGGGACGATCCGCTAAAGCTTGTCCGTAAATATCGGCTTCTAGACAGAGTATGTAGTAACAAATTGACCCTCTAGGTGGCAGTGCCACTTTTGATGGGAGATGAGCATAGACTCTGGGCAAATAAGAAAAAGGTAACGGTTCGATATGAGAGAACATGTCGCCGGTGAGGAAGATCGGAATAAGGTAGAAACAATTTTTTTTTCCTGATGAAAGAAGAGAGTCTACTCTTTCTTTTGGTGTGTTCGGTGTTTACATAGTCATAGCGCAAACTATTCTGTGGCTCTTGATAAATCAGTCAAAATGCTCAAAAAACTCTGGCAGTCAATGAGTTAACAATCTAGATCTGAACGTACAAATGAACAATTGAAATGTGCAATGTTGATGTGCAACGACAGACCAGAAAATGCTGAAAGCATTGGGTAAATTAGTGATGTAGAGAGGGGGGGGGGAAGAATAGGTGGGGGTCGCTGGTCTTGTTGATGAGGCCAGTTGCTGCTGGATAGAAACTGTCTTTATGGCGTGAGGTCTTGGTCCTGATGGTCCTGATGGTCCCGAAGGAAGTTTTTCCTTGCCTGTGTCGCCTAGTGCTTGCTCATGGTGGGAATTGTTGGGTTTCTGTAGCTAACTTCAGAGTAGGGTCTGACCTGCTCTGTTTGGAAAGCGCTGTGAGACAACTGTTGTTGTGATGTGGCGCTATATAAATAAAATTGAATTGAATTGAATTGAATGGTCCTCAACCTTCTGCCAGAGGGGAGAGTTTCAAATAGTTTGTGACCAGGGTGAGAAGGATCAGACATGATCTTTCCTGTGGATTCGTGCCGATAGCTTTCTGTGCTGACGTCCCTTTTGCTTTCCGTCTCCCTTCAGAGGACTCGGTGTTTCTGTCCGATGAGAAGGAGAAACAAGAGTACGTGCTGAATGAGCGGGGGGTCATCTACAGAGGCAGCGCAGACTACATCTCCTCCATGTACTGGGACTACGGGCAGGTGAGTGGAAACCTTATTCAGCCCGATAAATATGTCAAATATATAGAATAAGTTACAAGTTACATTCAAAGATGTATTTCACAAGGGTGACATTTTAGTTTCAACACCTTCTGAATAGTTTGAAAAGATGTTGTCATCATGTTAGAGTTTTCTGTCAACACGTAGATAGATAGATAGATAGATAGATAGATAGATAGATAGATAGATAGATAGATAGATAGATAGATAGATAGATAGATAGATAGATAGATAGTTGCATTATCTTATGTTTTACATGGACTTTTTTTCAAAAAGGTGACACGTGCTTTAAAAAACAGATTTGCATTCAATAATGAGTTATATTCGGATATATTATATTATATTATATTA